TGCGGATTGGAAGGTCGTGGGTTCGCTCCCTGGCGGAGCAGGACTTTTTTTTTTCAAACGACCTTTTTTCCCAGGTCGACCCAGCCTTGAGTGGATCCCGGGTGCAGTCCTGGAAAGTAAAGGCGGGTGGTGTGATGCAACCACATCACCCATCTTGTGCTGATTGGTCTATAAAATATAAGTCTAGCCCTATATGCCCTATACGCCTAAAGGTGTGCTTTACTTACTTTACTATAAGGGGTTTATGGTTGCCAATTTATTGAATAATTAAACCGCGAACCTCCTTATTTGTGATGTGGTCTTTGTATTTTATGACAAGAATGTTTTTGAAGGATTATTTCCAAAGCTTGTGTCTTCTGTTTGTGTTCACCTGTTCAGGTTCACGTTTCACAGCCATTTGTAAACGTGCTAGTGCTCTGAGTAATAATAGCTTATGTTTGCTTTGACATTTGGGTGGGGCGGAGCTCTGTAATATTAGCTGTTTGGCAAGGACTGATGTTGAGAAAACCAAAGCAATGTGGTATGCTGCCAAATCTCCCACAGCCGCATGTTAAATGCACCTACACACACAGCACGGCTGTAATTATGCGTCTGTGTTAAAGGATTAAGCTATAGCTCTGCTACTAATAATACTTAGCAAATCCTGTCATCATCAGATATTTATCCTAAATTAGGTTAACTGTTTTAAAGGCTCCCTCAGTAGTAATATAAACTCCCACGTGGAGCAAGGGCAACAGGAAGAATTAGAAGATTACTCTCCCTTCAAATAATAATTACTCTTATCTTCATACTCACAGAGTAGGGGGTACACTGGGCATGACTCTAAGGTCTTATTCTTGTTGCTCATTGGAATCCACTTAGCCAACTTCAAGGCATTTGTTCACTACTTATTGAATATTCATACCAGGACTAATTAAATATTTTATGTTTAGCTAATTTCCTATTTAAAGGGTACTTATTGGCGGGTTAATTGATTACATTTTAACATTTGGGGAATTGGGGAAAACGGCTACATTACTGAAATAACATAGCCTCTGGGAATAACTTGTTATTTAAAAAAATGAAACAGAAATATGAACTTCATGTACAGAAACAGGTCGCACAGTGTGCCAGATGCAATGAAATGAATTGTCTTGTATAGATAGTTTCACTGTCCTTTCTCTGTTGTTTTTAAAATATAGGTGGATTTTAAAATGAACGTTGTCAGCAGCTGGCAATTAGAGACAGCAAACTGGTAGAGGCCTCTGTGTGTTCCAACAACACAAAGTGCTATGATGTTAGCTTGGCCACTGCTAGGATCTCCCTTGTTGGACACATCAACAGATTGCATTGACACTAGACTTAGGGAGACACAAACCTGCTGCCCTTTTTGATAGACTGGAGACAGTCAAAAGATAGGGGTAGAAAATCCTTGAAATTGGGTGTATCAATTGCTGGCTTGGTCAGTAAACAATACTACACAAATTTGTTATCCACCATGTTGGGGGAGGAAGATAGACCTAGTGCCCTGCCCCTTCACAAGCATGTCATAAAGGGCAACTTTTCCGCATAGGGTCTCTGGCCCTATTGTGCCGGGGTAATGTGTTTAAAACCACCCTCCCCACAAGCATGTTGTAAAAAATGAACTGATTATGGTCTTTCTGTTAAAGTCGGAGTGCATCTGCCTGAGAAGCGTGGGACCAAGAGTTTATCTACAAATAAGCTAGATCTGTAAAATGGGTGTGCATGCAGAACTCAAATTCTGCAATAAGAACAAAGTTCAGGTGGATGAACAATGAACAACCATAACTTTCCATATAAGTTTACAGCCTATGAATGTGAAGATGATGATGAAGAAGAAAACAACAATTTTTGAGGGCTCTGAATTTTGATTTGCTTTGCCGAAAGCTACAAATATTGGCTGTGACCTCCATGTTGAGGACTTCTTGGTGATCCTAAGAATTGAAGTGCAACTGTACTGGTTTATACTTTCCCTAACTGTGAACCACAACAGGCCAACCACCTTTATAAAAGTGAATGCAAAAGAGGAAGAAGAAGCTTAATGATGATGTTTCATCATACCAAACCTATCTTTGATGCACTTTTAGAATCGGTCTGAACTAATTTGTTTGTTTTTCTCCCCCAGGATATTAACAACCCTGAGGATCTAAGTGGGGACAACTCTAGAGGCTCCGGTGGAATTTTGCGCCCAGCACCATCTCCAGTTGGCTCAGGAGGGTCAAGATCCAACACTCCAGCTTCTATACCTGGTGGGTGTCTTCTTGTGGTACAGCTTTCTCAGACACCCCGGGTGGTGGCACTTTCCTTACAAGTCAGGCCAGGAGCTTCCAGAGAGGAGTCTGGGCGTGCATATTTTAGGCACTGTGCTGAAATTACGGGATAAAGGCTCAGCAATCTCTAGACGCCATGAGGCATTCCTGAGTAGAGAAAAGAAGCAGCAGCAGCAGCTCTGGACATACAAAACTGCAGTCTGCACCATCACCAGTATAGCAACTTTCTACCAAGGTTCAGGTTATTCAGCGTGTAGGACTAGCAGGCTACTGGTGCCCTGATAGTCAAAAGGTTTGGGTTCTGGAAGAACACTTATCTGGATCAGACTAGAACTTTTGTATACCTACCATATAATGAGAGATTGTAAACTGACCTTAAGGCAGCCAGCAGTGGGGACCATCTTCATGTAGTTTGCAGTACAGGCTTAGGTAACTGCTTTTTCCTAAATGGATATTTTGCCTGGTCACCTCTAATTCCCTCACAAAATATATTTTCAGTTATTCCACCCCGGCCAGAGATAGCTTGTCTCTTCTCCCGACAGGACCAAACTGTCCAGCCGGTTGGAGAATTTAATTTCTTGGCCCCTCTGTTACCATTTCGTTCGTAATCACCCGGCGCCTATTCTTAAGTTTGTTGTTATTGGTTTCTTCAAATTTTGTTCCTTCTTTCTTACGGCGGTCCTTCTTTCTGGCTGGCAAATTGAAGGGAAATTCAAAATCACTCCATACCATTGCCGTGACCTATCATTGAGGCTTACTGGAAAATCTGACATATTTTCTTCTTCGCTTCCTCTTTTACCGCTTCGGGTGTTGAGGGAGGTATAAGATAATGTCTTTATATCCTGATCTCCTGAACATTTGTGAAGGCAGGCATGAATACTGCCAGTAGCATAAACTATGCATCACATTAATAGGTCATTATAGACAAGTTATTAAAGTGTCACTTACAAGGAGTTGAACAGAATCGGAAGTTTTGGTTTTTCAGCTTCTCGGGGTGAAAGTGTTAACGGAGCATATGTTCATAACTGTCATCTTATACTATACTGTTACTCAATCATGCTCTTAATGTTATATCTATATATTATTCTTTTCTTTTCTTTTTCTAACCTTCTCCCTCCCCTAGTGGAGCATAGGCCCTTAAGCAATGTGCCAAATTATCCTGTCTTTTGCTGAATATTATAAACAGTTGTATTAAGGATTTTTTTGCATGTGGGCTCCAGGGCCCCATTTGGGGGGATTGGATGATGGGGGGAATGAATGTCAGGCGACCAATCAGGTGATTGCTGAAATGGGACGTGCTGGGTTGAAATGCGCATGTATCCGCACGCCTTGCTGTAACCACAACACTGTGACAGCCACCGTTTTAAAGGTGAACACAAAAGAAATAATGACTTCTGAATGTTAATGACTATTTGTCAAGTGTATTTGTCCGATTCTGTGGACTTTATAATCCTTGATAAAACGTTTATGACAATGTATCATGACATTTGTTGCTCTTCTAGGTGTTCAAGCTGGCAGCCCTATGCCTGTTCGCCCCCCATCTAGTCAGATTGATGGACAGAATCACATGACACAGTCCCCCATGGCTACTCAAGGTAAGGAAAGCGTACACATTTTAAGTCAGAAAAGACTTAAAATTAAAAAAAGACATCCAGTGCCATGATCTAGTTGGGGCCACTCGAAGGGGTATCCATTTAGTGGACATGGCAGATAACTGTGTCTTTGACTTTCTGTGGGTGGTAGCTAGTGGGTATGTTGGAGTTACCTGATTGCAGCTTGCACTGTTAGAGGTTTTTTTCCCACTTTGTAGAACTCTTTAGTGGTCAGTGAGTGTTTTAGTCCTTGCTATATGAGCTGCAAACATGTAACTATAACTTGGGACGCAGCTTCCCAGCTCTGCATGCTTTTGACACTGATCACAAAGGAACTGATAAATTTATCAAGGTGGCGCCGCCGCAGGGGATATTGACTATGTTTAAATGGATTTGACGGCTACCGCTGTTGAGGCAGTTGGCTTTCTACGTAGGCATGGCTTTACATCTGTCCTCAACTTTAGTGTGGGTAATAGCTAGTCAGTATGACAAGTTACACACTTGTTGCTTACCGGGTTGTATTTAGAGTTTTCTCCACTTGGTAGACAGAACTCTTTAGTTGTTAGCAGGTGTTTTAGTATTTGCTTTATGGACTGCAAAAGCAGGACCATTCCTTGGGGCCCATTTCCACCACTCCATGTGCTTTTGATACCAGTCACATTAGAACTTTGACCAAAACTATACATCTTAGTTAGTTGCATATTCTTTGCAGGACCTTGCGGAACCAGCCTCAGTATATTTTTCGCTGTTGTGATTTTCATAGGCAAATTAATTTTTAATAGTTCCTGAACAGTCAGCTCCTGATACAGCTGTCAAAACCAACGCAGGAAATTTGCTGTCAAATCACACTCAGCTGCTGTTGAACCTGGCATTACTAAGCGCATTCGCACACCTGACAGACACCAGCCAAAACTAGACATAATATGAAAAATAAACATCACCAACGCGATTACAAGCATAACTCCAGCTATGCTTATCTCCATCAGTGGAGTACACGTATTGAAATACTTTTCATAATAATGGTATTTTTCTCTCTATTAAAATATTCACTGTTTTGCAGCAAAATTGTTAACAATATTCTTGACAGTGTTTCTTTGTGAATGTCCTCTTGCTGAAGATTTCGTGCTGATTGTCTCAGGTTACAGCCAGCACATAATGCCACCACCTGTCAGCATGGGCTTTGTTGCACCTAATGCAGGGAAGATGAGTGACTCTCAGATGCCAGGACAGTACCCACAGTACAGCGCTCAGTATCCCCAAGGTACCTGCAGTTTCCAGCATTTGTCTGTTTGTATGTGATGTATTTTGATTGTCAGCGATACAAGATACAGTGCAGTTGTCAACAATACAAGATAAGATACATTATCTATGTATAATGAACAGGCAGACAATGTATTGATCGACTTGATATAAAGAAGTAGAAAGATAGGACACACTAGACAACATAAAAATCAAATGCTTACTTACTGTGCCAGGAATCGAACCTGTTACCACCAAAGGCATGTGGGCCTCACTGTGGAAACAAGTGTACCAAGATACATGACCAAATGTCTTCATGTTTCTGCGGCCTCAAGGGTGGCCCCCCCCCCTCTGTTTATTTATGAGTCAACAGTAGAAAAGGTACATTAGTGTTGACAACAATACAAGATAAGGTACAGCATGGTTGTCAGCAATACAGGATCATATAGTGTGGTTGTGGACAATACAAAATAAGATACAATATGGTTGTCAACTATGCAAGATAAGAAACAATATGGTAGTCAACAATACAAGATTACAGTGTGTCAGAATACAAGTAGGTGCCTTTGTATTGTGTGTATGTTGATTAGAACAATATGTCTGTCCAAATGCTGTGTGTTACGCCATGGATCACATCTTATGGAGGAAGAAAATAAAGAAATGAATACGAATAAAAGAGGAAAGTAGCAAACAGTGGAAAAACTAAGCATCTGAGAAGCAACTTGTCAAAACATGTGAAGGCAACAGTGGTCCTGAAATCTCATGGATTTGTTTTGGAAGATTCTTATTAATGATAATGAGAGCTGGTCCTACTAGTGACATCCTCTGTCACAGTTGGCTGTGGTTTCCTATGCCAGGACAAGGGAACACTATTGTCTTCTTCTTCTCTTCCACCTTGTACCTCATCGAAGTGGGGGGGGGGGGGGGGTGTAATGTTCGTTGATGAGCTCTGTCAAGAGCACTATAAATACTGATATTCATTTCTGTAAGGCTGTTCTTAATGCCATCACTCCATATTTTCCGAGGTCTTCCACTCGCTCTATACCCGTTGTAACGATTTAGTGTGGCAGATAGTACCAGGGCATTCTTGTTAGGTGTCTAAACCACTTTATTTGTTGTTCTTTGATGACCTGTAAGACTGGCTTTATTCCTAGCATTCGTCTGATTTCATGATTTCGTATTCTGTCTTTCCATGAAACTCCTGCAGCTCTTCTAAGGCATTTCATCTCTGTTGTCACAATTTTACGTTCATTGGAGGATGTAAGTGTCCACGTCTGGCATTGATAGCATAGTGTTGGCCAAAAAATAGTTCTGATAAGATTCACTTTAGTACTCTGAGGTATCTGCTTGTGTGTCAACAGGGGAGATAGCTAGTGTCAGACACTATTGTCTGGAAGCAGGAAAAAGTTTCATTGGCAACTGGGTCGCCCATTGGTTAGCCAGTGGATGACTTCATCGCCGGTCGGGACAGTATGTGGGTCTGTCCTTTGATATCGCCAACACTGCAAGAGCTGCTTGAGGGCGTGCAGTGCTAAGCCATTTTATGTGGCGCAGATTACCTAGTCACAGTTATAACCTAAACCTTCCCCTTCTAGGATGCTGGTTGAACATAACAATTAAAATTTTTGTCTTTAAAAAAACTTATGATGAAGAAAGGTGTCAACATACAGTGCAACATAAGTCTGTCTGTGTGTTGTATGTTGGTGTAGCGCAGTACATTGTTTGGTGCCTTACTGTATGTTGTATGTTGGTTGTCATTATTACATTTGTATCTCAAGAATACATTAGTTAATATTCAAAGAATACATCAGTTCGTGTCTCACAAATACATAGTGTCTCTACAATACATTAGCTAATGTCTCAATGATACATTAGCTAGTGTCTCAACAATACATTAGCTAGTGTCTCAACAGTACATTAGCTAGTGTCTCAAAATTACATTACCTAGTGTTTCAACAGTACAAAACTTAGTCTCAAAAGTACATTAGTTAGTGTCTCAACAGTACATTAGTTAGAATCTCAACAAAACATTTAATTAGTGTGTGCTTTGTCAGCAGTCCAGCATATATTAGTGCCTTTATGTTGATTGTCAGCAGTTGCAACATATTTTAGTGCCTTAATGTTGGTTTTTCAGAGTACACCATAAGATCTTAATATTGCCTTTAGGTTACCAGCAGTGTGTGCCTGTTTGGTTCATTGTTTTGTTTGTCTGTTTTCTATTGTTAGCAGTTCAGGTTATCACTAGACTGTGCTTTTTTGATTGTTTGCAGTGAGTTGATTGTCAGCAATCAAAGATACATCACTGTCTTTTCTGTGTTGTTGTCAGCATTCTGACATATGCCACTATCTGTTCTGTGTTCTTGTCAGCAATCCAGCATATAACTCTGTTGAATAACATAGTAGACCATTTTCTTCTTTATGTCCTCTATTACCGAGGGGGATATAAGGTCCTGCTTCCTGCTCTTCTGGCTGCTTTGACCATAGACACATTGTAGTGCTGTAGAGTTTCTCTGATATCTTCCTATCTTGTTCTTGGTTTGCATCTTGTTCTGCTTCCTTTTCCTCTTTTCGTGTGTGCCTTGTATGGTATAAGGCATTCTCTCCAAGTGAGCAAACCATTTTATTTGCTGTCTTTGTGTGTAATTAAGAATTGGTTATATGCAGACTTTATCTTGTATGACCTCATTCCTGATTTTCTCTTTTGTGGTCACTCCTAGTCTTTCTCACCCTATTTCCATGGTTACTAGTTTTTGTAGATTATCAGCAGTCAGAAATATGCCACTATCTGTTCTTTGTGTAGATTTTCAGCAGTCAGACAATATATGTCACTATTAGCCTTGTTGATTGTCAGCGGTCCAACATCAATATCTGTCTCTCTACTTTTGCATTGATCGTCAGTAATTCATTGATTCAACATATACCCCTAACTGCTGTGTTTTGTCAGCAATTCAGCATACAGCCATTAATTCAGCATACAGTTTGTCTGTTCTGTGTATTAACTGTCATTAGCATGGATTACATTTATGACGTGAGTACATTGCTGAGGTGTTTATTAAATGGCTCCAGTGGGTACCACTCCCCCTCATGGGGGAGGGGGAGGGGGCAAATAGATCCACAGCTCTCCTAACACAAGGACTAGCAATAATCGACAGATAAGGGGTTTGCTAAAGTGGACGTGTTGGGTCAAATGGGGCAGATATCGTAGCCTAGCTATAAACTGCGACACAAATTTTCAGCCAACCTTTTAAGGGCAAACACAGAAGAGAATGCTACTGTATTACATCTTGTGAGTTTGTGTAATTGTTTTTTCTCTTTTTTAGCATCTGTTGCTAGATTGTTTTTTTTTCTATTTTTAGCACTTGTTGCTAGATTGTTTTTTTCTCTCTATTTAGCATCTGTTGCTAGGTTGTTTTTTTTCTCTCTTTAGCATCTGTTGCTAGATTGTTTTTTTTCTCTTTTTAGCACTTGTTGCTAGATTGTTTTTTTCTCTCTATTTAGCATCTGTTGCTAGGTTGTTTTTTTCTCTTTTTAGCATCTGTTGCTAAACCTTTTTGGGACAGAATGAGGAAAAAAAAAGTTTAATTATAATGTAAATAAGAATATCATCAATGACATTGTATTATCTGAACAGGTAGCTTTGGGAGGCCGCAGCCAAACATTGGAGGCATGAGTGGGTCTCCAGTTTCTGGCCCAGTACAAAACTATCCAGGATCTCAAGCCAGCATGTATCAAAATGGCCCCAGTCAGATGTCTGCTGCACCCATGTATGGAAACATGCCTGGGATGGTCAGACAGCAGGGATATGTTCCCAACTCTGGGCCTTACTCCCAAGGAAGTGCCAGCATGGGAGCTATGATGAACAGTCAGTATGCTGGTTACAACTCACACATGCCAATACCAGGACAGCACAGCATGCAGCAACCGCCAGGAGCTGCAGGTCAGATGCCTCTGGGAATGAGTGTGCAGCAAGGAAGCATGACCGCCCAGCAGCACAGTTCCTCCTCCAATAAAGCGGCCCAGGCTGCACATGCAGCAATGATGGCAGCGGCAAGTTCCGTAGGCCCTCGTATGGCTCACATGAGAGCTTCCGTGAACCACTCCAGAGGCATGTTTGGACAGCCCAGCGGGGGACCTCTAGCCCAGATGAACAGCATGACAAACTCTCCAAACCTAGGTAGTCCAAGTTTGAACAGTATGTCTCATGCTGTGGACCAGCTAGTGAGGAAAAGCTCTAGTGGATTATCACCATACATGGGAAACTCATCCACCTCAACCCCTTCCCCAGTGCCTAAAGCAGCTCACAGCCCTGCAACAATGACAAGCAGCAGCACACCCTCCAGCATGGCCCACAGTGTTGGGCACGGTGCTCTGCAGACATCCCCAACACCCGCTTCAGAAACTCATGAATCGTTATCGCGTCCCAGCTCCACCACAGCTCACCATCCAGATTATCAGAACAGTGAATCCACAATGGGCTCTGACAGCTCAGGGGGCATGCCTAGTGACTCCACATCAGTGGACAGTGGTTTTCATTCCTCAGATCAGGGTGACAAAACTTCAGACTCTCTTGGTAACTTGATTCATTCTAGAACCTCGCCACCTATATCTGGCCCTTCAGCCAATGGGGAACCCTCCCGGACATTGGAAAACATTAGCCCACCAAATCATGCTAGCCACTCTCACCAGCACAGAAACCCGATGCAAATGCATCATCAGCCACAACACTTTGACATGGGTCCGGAGTCCAAGATGCCTTACAGCAATGACAGTGGTGTACCTTTGCCTCCATCTGCCATTTCATCAATGCCTTCATCCAGCAGCAGTTTTGTTACCACATCCAACATAGGTAGGTTACAAGAATGTCAGTTTTGTCTTCTTAAAGTGTGGTCTAAGGGTTATTGAAACTCCATGTTGTACATAGGAGGTGATGTGGTGTTTAAACCTTGATAGAAGAGCTCACATGCAAATTCCTCTGGGCATTTTTGCCATGTTAGCAAGTCTAGGGTAATTTTAATAAGGTGACTAAAGTCATGAGACCAAACATTTTGAGAACTAGTGCTTTATAAAATTGTATGTATACCTGTAATGTTGACTAATTTTTGTGGTACATTTACTTATTTATATTGTTTGTTGCTTTTGTTGCTGTATGGCTCAAAGTTGGTATGTTGATGAAATCTGTGTAGGTATTAGATGTTACTAATTTACATCACTGGGTTTCAACTTTTGTAAAGTGGTTGGTTTTCTTCCACACACAGTATACTCTCCTCTCACTGCCCGGTTTTCATCTACTATTAGTTAAATAGGTTAAAACCGTACTTAAAGTTGTCTTTTGAGGAATTAACCAACTTTTAATTAATCTGTGAGTAACCGTCGGCGGTGAGGCAATCTATTTATAGTGTGCAGAGATCACCTTCTGTTGAAACATGATGGCTTGTGCCGTCTCTTTACACCTGAGCTTGTAGATTATTAATTCTGGATGAGCGCTGATGGATAATACTTTGTTATAACTCAAACAGTATCAACACATTATTTCATTATCAGATGATGCCATGAACAGTTGGCTTCAGACTGATTCACAGTTGAAGTAATCACAGAAGCATTCCTGGTTCTATTAGGATTTATTTTAATACTTTATTACACTATTAGACTTTAAAAAAAAAAAAAACTTCCATGTTTACTTAATAACTAATACTGCTAATATCAGCTTGATTACCACCTGTATGGCATTAGCTGTATATTATCTGTTAAATCTGAATCCACTATTTGATTACTTCACCCTGAAATTACCACAAAAAGCAGAGTTTTTAATTTTTTTTTTAATTTCTAGGTCATTTGTTTACTGTCTTTGTATTCCTTGCCTTGGCTATCATGTGTTGCAAGCGTGAATGTTGATATATTTATATATATATATATATATGATCATCATCATCATGTAGCAGGTCCTTTGCAGAATGTTGCTCTCATAACAGTCTGCCTGAAAGAAACTCGGTCTCTCGCCAGTTCTCCCGCCTCATGAACTTTCACACTCAAGGAGTCACTTATATCCTGTGCCCATCTTCGTGTTGGTCGGCCCCTGCCCCTCCTTCCTGGTGCCATGCCTTTTGCAATAATTTGTTCCAATCCGTCGTGGCGCTTGATATGACCAAAATATTTCAGCTTTCGAGAATTGATGCTATTTATTAGCCAATCTTCCTTGATATTCAGATCTTTTAAGATGTCAATATTTCTCATCTTCTTTGTCCAAGATATTCTGAGAATCTTTCTGTAGCATTTCAGCTCAAAAGCCCCTATTTTCTTTCTTAAGGAGAGATAGTCCACGACTCACATCCGTATGTAGCCACAGGGAAGATGCATGCTCTCAAAAATACAATTTGTATCTTCTTGCTGGTGCTTAACCATAGACTTTTAAGGCTGTTCAATCTTTGCATTGCTACGGCCATCCTCCTTTTAATTTCTGTCAAACAGTCTCCATTGTTGTTTATTATAGAGCCTAGATATTCAAAGTTTGTGACATTTTCAATTTCTTCATCATTTATTGTTATTTTTGGGTGACAGCCAGTTTTTTCTGTGGGCATTATTTTCGTCTTCTTTCAATTTAAGAACAGATTTTGATCTTTACTGTGCGTTTGGACAGACTATATTAAATTTTCTATTCCCTTTACGCTGTTTGAAAGGAGGACTGTGTCATCTGCGTAGCGGAGTTCTGGAATAGGGTTGCCACCAATTTTGAGCGGATAATAACTGTCACAAGTCTGGTCATTTTTGACATTTCTCATTATATTTTCTGCGTATACATTGAATAGGTATGGTGAGAGAATGCACCCCTGCCTCATCCCCTTTTTCCCTCGAACCAATCAGATGTTTCACTAGTTGCTCTGATGTCTTCTTGTTGTTCATGATAAAGATTTTCAATTAAATGCACTAAATGCGCTGGAAACCCCATACTTTTCATAATAGTCCACAGTTTGTGGTGCTGGACACAATCAAATGCCTTGCTATAATCAATAAAACAAGCATGAAGATCTACATTGTATTCTCTGCATATTTCAAAAATTATTCTATTATTAAAGATGTAATCCCTAGTTCCTCTACCCTGTCTGAAGCCCGCTTGTGCTTCATCTAGCTCATATTGTAATTTCCTTTCAATCCTTTTCATGATAATTCATAAGAGGATTTTGCTAGCATGACTTATTACTGCGATGGTACGGTAGTTGAAGCATAATTTTGGATTTCCTTTCTTTCGAAGAGGGATATAGACTGTTCTTTTCAACGCTTTAGGCCAAATGCCACTGTTCCAGATCTTTTATATATATATATATATATATATATATATATATATATATATATATATATATATATATATATATATATATATATATATATATATATATATATATATATATATATATATATATATATATATATATATGTGTGTGTGTGTGTGTGTGTATGTATGTATGTATGTATACACACACACACACACACACACACACATATATATATATATCCTACTGCTCTTATGTCTGAATCAGGGCTATTCAACTGGTGGTCTGTGGACTAAATCTGACCGGCAGAGGACAAGCAAGTAGCCCGCAGATTTTTGGCACTTGTATTGTATTAATGATCTTTTTATGCTCACTGTCAACATTTTAGCCCCGGAGTAAAATGGGTTGAATAGCCCTGGTCTAGACCCTCAGTCCTATTCAGCATAATGACCCATAAGGAAATCAATGAGTAGTAACATAGTAGTCTGTCATTTGTATCAGCAGAGGAAACTAAAGTGTGTTGTCTCCAGTATCGGTCGGTCACATTTCACATTTAACAGTATGACCCCGTCATCCCTATAATTTCTCCACTTTTGTGCCAGTGAAAATCACACAAAATTGCCGTCACAAATCCACAGATAACACCCTATGCAAAGCCAACAGCTTTCATTCATTAAATGCACTATGCAGCTTCAAGAGGTGCCATTACCAACTTTCAGTCACAAGAATTGCAGTTTGTTAATGGAAGCAGCAGTCATGACAAACAGATAGCTGTTAATGTATTGCTGCATAAGGCATACAGCCAGTTATGTGGTAACTGGCCACCTGCCATTTTATGAATATGTGGTTTACTACGTAAAATTATGCATATATGATTAGACCTGACAGTTTTGTGAAGGAGGAGATAATAATTGTGTAGCTTTAAAAGATGTTGCAGTACAGAGGCTATCATTGTGGCCTGCTAACACAATTATCTGCAGTTCTATCCTAAATAATGGAAGAAATATATTCTCAGTTAAAAACCATCTTGATGACCACCTATCTACTGTATCTTTACTGAGGCGACCAACTTTACTGCATCCTACAATTTCATACACATAATCCTTTTTTTATAGTCCATATTATGTAGCATTGGTCCTCATGACTGTCCACAGCCTTCTGCCATGTGCACTGGCAACAATTTTTTTTAATTGGAATAGATGCTGCTGTCATGATATCCCTTCCCCTAAAGTTTGTTCCTATTTATTTTGGTGGGTAGAAGGTGGATTGTTTCTTTGTTCTTTCTTCAGTCTCCATGTTCTTGGACATTTGTTTTGTATGCTCAGGTCAGACCATCAGGTGGGCTGCCTCTATGAACTTGCATATTTTCTTTTTTGACATCCTCCTTCTTATAATTCAGCTGTGCGGCATTTGTAGACCTGTCTGTCCACAGCCTTGTGTCTTTCAGTCTGTTCTGACACAGATAATCTTCCATGCCATCATATCGGCTGTCTAGTTCTTCTCTCTTAGTCTCCTTCTGCCTCTTTTCCCCTCCAGCATTCCCACCATCTCATGATATGACCTTTAACTTTTTAAATACTATTCCATCTGCCTTTATCATCATTTTGTAGCTGGAAAGAACTTCTAATTGGCATACCTTCTCAGAACCTTTTCTTGTAAATGTACCTTTCCCTTTATTACTGTGTGTAATTTCCAATTTTGTGTAAATTTAAGGCTTGATGGGCCTGGGAGCCTAGGCTAATTGGGGACTATCTCTTGCCTTCGTTGTGAATATGAGCGGATTGCTGGGTCGGGGGACAAGTCTGCTGCCCAGTGCACTACTAATCTGCCAAATTAAGAAAGAACCACAAGTTTGTCTGCAGGTTTCTCCTGATGAAACAAGATAGGAACTGTACAAAGAGATTAAACAAGATAGGAACTGAACAAAGAGATAAAACAAGATAGAAACTGAACAACGAGATGAAACAAGATAGAAGCTGAACAAAGAGATGAAACAAGATAGGAACTGAACAAAGAGATAAAACAATATAGGAACTGAACAAAGAGATAAAACAATATAGGAACTGAACAAAGAGATAAAACAAGATAGGAACTGAACAAAGAGATAAAACAAGATAGGAACTGAACAAAGAGATAAAACAAGATAGGAAATGAACAAAGAGATAAAACAAGATGGGAACTGAACAAAGAGATAAACAAGATAGGAACTGAACAAAGAGATAAAACAAGATAGGAACTGAACAAAGAGATAAAACAAGATAGGAACTGAACAAAGAGATAAAACAAGATAGGAACTGAACAAAGAGATAAAACAAGATAGGAACTGAAAATAGTTGCTGTTGTTCACAAACAATAATACTCCTGACTGTCTTGTGTTAATTGGGTGATCCTGAAATAATTTACTAGCCAAAACAAAATTTGATGGTTATGCAGGGATTATGCCACTCAGAGATGGTTTATAGTGCTAACTATACATTTTACGTCTTTTCATCTGGTGATAACAAATTATGTATTCAATCTTATACATTAATGGTGTAATGTTTACTTCATCACTTGCCAAGTGCTGATACTTGTCTAAAAACATAAGTCTAGCAGCATCATATGCCTGATGCGCCCTGGCTTAACTCTTTTAATACCAGACAACTCACTTAAGTTTCTTAGTCCTTACTATATTAACTTTTTATGTGTCAGTTGTTGGTCTTACTACTTCTACCCCATAGTGTCTCTGTAGAACTCCATTAGACATTAGTATTTGTTGCTTTTTAAGCTCAGCTTTATAGAAAAGAAAGGGTTAAAACAAGAATATCTTGTGACTGAAAGAATTAAAAAGGAATTTTGACTTTTTAACTGACTTATATTGTTCTTCTCTTGCAGGGCCATTGTTAACATCAGTCACACAAAGTATAGCTTCACCAGTCACTAGTGTATCCACATCTGCTCCACATCATTACAGCCACCCACACCCACACCATATGGGACCTCTTGGCGGTTCCCCACACATGATGAGTCATATGATGGGTCCGGGGCCACAGGGTATGATGTCCAATGGAATGCCCCTGGGTGGAATAATGAGTGCAGGGCAGATTGGCGGTCCTGGACATATGCCACAAAATATGGCAGGGTCTCCACACATCATGGGAGGACCGAATATGAATGTCCACCAAAATGGCCCGATGATGGGGTTGAATAGGCCACATATGGGACACGGGAGCCCAGTGATGTCAAGCCATCCAGGGATTAACAGCAGTAACGGTGCCCCCATGCCTCACATGGGTCCTATGCTAACTCAGCAGCAGCAGATGAACTGCATGCCCCATGTGGGTAACAACAATTCTTTCTCTGATGAGCCACCAGAAAAGAAAAGGAAGACTAAGGTAGTACAGTTTGTTCTGTTCATATACTGTTGATACTCTTATTGTCCCCTATCACATTTGATATGCACATGTTTTTAATTTTTAGAATATGCCAGCCACTTTAAGGTACACAGTGGGGGCTGCCCACATGTTTGACATTTCACTGTTGTGTCCTTGTGATATTACAATGATCTATTCTTCATCTTTGGGCTCAGTGACTGTAAACTCCAGCAAAAAGTTATGGTGGTTTGTCCACCACTGGACTTAGGTTTCATTCTAGAACTTGAGTTTTGCGCGCCCATTTGTTTTACCGATCTGTCTTTATATACATACAGACTATTGGTTCCTCACCTCTCAGGCAGTTGCTCTAGGACTCTGAAGAAAATAAATTACTGAAACAATAGTTTCGGCGCATTGGTTTTTTTTTTTTTTTTGCTTAACTTTTCCTGAGCGACTTCAGCATATTGCCACCAGGGCTGACTTTAATTAAAATAATTGCCTGCTTTTTGTTCTATTACTCATTGCCTATTCTCTTCAAATCCTCTTAACTTAATTTTTTTCCCCTCATTTATTTTGTGGATTTTGCCTCACTTCCTCCCCAGGCCACCTCCACTCCTTCTACCAACCCCATTCCAGTTTCTTTAATTGTTTTGTTTCCTGGTTGTTTCTTTCTGCAGAACCTCCCTGGAAACAACACACCATTATTACTTCATTTCCTGTCATTAATGTTATCCTTTGCATGCCTTTTCCTCTTCTTGCAGTTGTCACCTCCTTTTTGGAGGCAAAATTATAAAAAATAATTTCAGCAGCAGTGCTAAATCGTGGTTGATAGTGCATTATTACCTTGGTCATTTTGATTGTTCACTCAGCCAGCACCATCTTGGGAACTTGTCTCACACACTCACAGAGCTGAAATCATGCAAAATATATTTGTTCTTTGACACAGTTGGTTCTACGACACAGCAGCACTGTTCACTGCATTGTAATGTCAGTTATTACAACCAGCTACTTTCACTATTGCTGGATGGAAATTGCACAGTCTGGATGGAAATTGCACAATCTCATCTCACAATCACCATTGCACAATTTAAGGTTTTTACACACACTTCATCATTTGACTTACTTGATTCCATTCATGTAATAAAAGGTAAGGGTCCACGCCTTTAGGCATATAGGGATAGACCTATTTTTTTTATGGACTAATCGGCACAAGATGGAGGATGTAGTCAACATCATGCCAGCTGCCTTTACTTCCCGGGTACCCACTCAAGGCTGGGTCGACCTGGTAGTCAAGGTAATTTTTTGAAAAAAAGTTTTAGCACCGCCAGGGAGCGAACACATGACCTTTTGATCCACACGTGAGCATCTGGTCGCTACGCCACAGCGCCTCCCTCATTCATGTAGTGAGTAATATATTTAGTAGTTGCTGGATAAACGGACATGTTTTTCCATTTATGCAGAGCGGGGCTATTTAACTAAGTTTGCTACGGGGCTAAAATTATGAAAATGGGGATCATCAACAGGCCAAGGTTTAAGTCTTACTTAGCACATATAGATCAATAATACAGTAAGCTGGCAACGATTTGCAGGCAATTTGCTAGGCCTTTATGGACTAGAATGTTGCTGAATGATTGCAGTGAATCTTCTTGTTTTTACATCTCTGGGAAAAGTTGTCTCCATGGCTGTGGTTAAGTCATTTGCTTTGATCTCTGGAAGTTGTGGTTTTATTTCATGGACTGCATTATCCAGTTTGTGAGTGCAGTTATTATGAACATCCCTGGAGTATTGTCACTGGAGCTTCAGAATTTGTGCTTTGTGCAGCACTCTTGGCAGGTGGAGAATGATCAAGCCATATGAGATCAAACCTGGTGTAATGAACTCTCCACTTAGAGATGCTTACGGCCAAGTGTATTCAGCCTATGTTAGTGTCACTGCCTTGTCTGAGCTGTTTGTGTCAGTTGTCTCTTTGTTTATGTATATTTTCGTGACATGTCTAATTTTCATCAGGGATCTAACAAATGCCTAAACTAGAGGTTCAAAGTTGTTTAAGATCTGGGGACTTAGCGATGGGCTGCATACGTTTTAGACACACTGAAGGCACATCTACACTATAAATCACAAACACTTTCTGTATTTTGTGTGTTCATTTTAAAGGAACTACTAACTTCTACCAAACCGTAATCAGTACACATGTTAAATTTTAAGTTGACATCATGACAGCAGTGTTTAACAGTCACATCTGTGGTCATGTTATTGTGTATTTCTCTTATTTATTGTAAATATAAGTGAAAGTAAACTTTCGCTGGAATTATATCGCTTTGAATATCTTTCCTTTTGCATCTCTTACATTAACTTTGCTGGAATTTCATTTGATTGTTATCTCCCTTGAAGCGTAGACTGTAGGATAGGGGCACTAGAGGAGGTTGTTGCTTTATCAGTCCTTGTTGCTTTATCGGTCAGATTTGGGCGACTCAACATGCCAAATTAACCCTGAGTCACAGCCCCATCACTTCAGAGATGTACTAAGGTGGTGGTAGTGCTAACTATCAGAAGAACAGGTCTTACCACTCCACCTCAAGCTCTGACTTGGGCGCCAGCTGCCACACTCTGTAAAAAAAATTTTCTACTGATAGTGTAAAAAAATTGATTACTGAAAATTCAGAGAATCACAAGACATGCAGTAAAATTGGACATTGGTGAGTTTAGGAAATGAGGGCATCCAGGGAAACTTCCATATGGAAGACTCATGTTGTGCTTGCTCCTCTGTGGAGTTTCTATTTCATATACAGCAGCGGCTTAGACCAAGATGAAAATAAAACTTTCTTTCCCTTTCCTGGGCAATTAAATATAGTAATTTATAAATATTAGAATCACAAATAGATTTGCATTCTAAAGTTTAGTTTTTTTTTGGGTGTGTGTTTGTAAATATCACGGACCCCTTGAATTTGTCCCATGGACCACCAGCTGGGGAATAACTAAATCTGTCAAACAGTTGGTTTTTACTTGGTTAGCATTAGGTGGATGGCCTCACATCTGTAAAAAAAAATAAAGGTATGTTTTCCCCCTAATGAAGCACAGCAATCAGTAGGTGATGTAATCAGTATCCTGCTTTCTGGTGCATTGTTTAAAAAAATTGTGCCATCTCCACACTGGTGTTTTGCATTCGTAGCTGATTTTGAGAATGAGATGAGATCCCAGTCTTTAGTACGTTGTTATTATCATACCAGTCTGAAAGTCACTGGAACCATTTTTTTTACTGCTTGCGGAGGAAAGTGAACCTCTAGTAGACTTAGGATTGGATTGTAAAATTATTTCATAGACCTCTACATCGCAGAGCTGGATAGTGCGAGGTTTACGGTGGAAATATTTGGGGGTCCAGGTAACGTGTTAAAATACATTAAAAAAAAATTACTTCTAAGAATATTTAGACAGAGCCACGAAACTGCTGGCATGTGTGTCAGCTTCATTGGCTCCCAATTTGTGGTCTGGACCACTAGAAATATTTCTCTCTTCCTGGAATCCAAGCTCAACAAAATACTGCGGACAATTTGATCATATTGTGAGCCATAGAACTCAAATCCCCCAGGTATATTCTGGAGCCCTGTGTTTAGGGAAAAATAAATGAATAGGCCTACTACACCTTAGCAAGCATGTCGTAAAAGCTGACTGATTAAGCATTAGCTGTAATAGCATGTGTTGGGTCGAAAGGCACAGATAGTTAGTTTATTGACGGATTATCCATAAGGGCTGAAATCCAGTTTTATTATCTGCCTCAGCATGTGGCTAATGATAACACCAGTTCTATGTTGGTTTACTATTTTTCTCTGACTGTCTGTTTAGTGTTTATGTCTGGCAATCTCTATAAAAAAAAATTTTTTTAACATGAGTTTCTGGTAGTTTTGTCAGAGTTGCACATTCACTGTCTTCTCCTGGTCATCTACTGGTCCTGCCTCCTTGAGAGCATTGAGAACGTCCCCTCAAATGTGGCTTAACTGGCCGGCTATCGGGACATGTTAATGAGAATCCTCGCTAGCAACAATGATTCCCTTTGCACCTGTGCAAATGTTTGATCGGTCCGCTCGTTTGTACCAGTTGTCTTGTCTACGGTTTTTACCAGCTGTCTTGTCTACAGTTTTACTAGTAGTCTACATTTTTTACCAGTTGTATTGTCTACAGTTTGTACCAATTGCCTTGTCTACATTTCAGATTGGCTATCTTGTTTGCAAATTGGTACCAGTTTACATTTTTTAAACTGTCTTGTCTACACTTTGTACCAGTATTTTGTCCACAGTTTGTATCTATTGTCTAGCCTGCTGTCTTCTTTATCTAACACTTTTCTTGTCTACAGTTTATACAAGTATATCTTGATTATTATTGTCAGTTTTGCCTACTGTTTGTGCCAAATTCTTGCTTGCTGCTTACAGCACTGTTTTTGCTTACTGTTTATGCCAGTTTTCTGGCCTACTGTTTGTACCACCTATGTTGAGAGTTAATGACATCTACCTCTTCAGTAGTGTTTCATTTTTCTCACTTACAGTGTGTACCACCTGTTTTTCTGCCGTTATATACTGTCCTGCCGATACTGTGCGCTGATTTCTCACCTATAGTTTGTGCCAACTGTCTTGCCTACAGTGTGCGCTATTGTATCACATGCTTTTTGTATTTCTTTGATGATTTCCAACGTGTTAAGGTGACATCTAAATGTTTCCTTGAATTTCCTTGAACCTTGAATTGATAATAGTAACAGGGAAAAGAGGAGGTTAAACCCTGCACGCCCCTCCCCCTTCCTCCCTCTTATTGCATTTGTTATTTGCTCTTCTCTCTCTCTCCCTCTCTCTCTCTCTCTCACACACACACACGCATCTATGTTCCTTTGCGCACAGAGAGAGAGAAAGAGAGAGAGAGTCGCTTTTTCCTCCTTACACTCTATCTTACTCTAGCCTATTCAGAATTGGTAAATTACATGTTTTGTAGATTGACTGCAGTTATTCACCTAAAACAAAAAATGTACAGTGCCATTGACGATGTAGCTAAAATTCTTTCTGAACAATAATGTATTTCACTGTGCTTGCACATCCATCATTGCTACAGCTACTCATGAATCATTGAGAAAAAATATTCCACTTGTTCCTTCCCTGTTGTTATGTTCCCTTACAACACAGTCATTACATCTCCCTGAGCTTCTGTATTGTTTTTTTTTTCTCTCTCTCTCTGTCTTTTGCCCACTTTATAGGAGTTGGATGGCCAGACTGGGCCTTGCTCTGGCTCTGCAGGGCCACTCTACTCTGAGGAACCAAGCAGTCCTGGGGCCCTTGTAAGTGGGCGCACGGATTTTGCAAAAAAAAAAAAAATTTGAATATACTAGACTTTGTTTGGGAACGTTTGTGTTTTATTTCCATATTGTATTTTGTTTTTTTACTTGGTTGTTGATGGTAGCATCATTTGTGGTTTGTTTAGAATCCTTTTTCTTTTCCTTTTTATCTTTGTATCTCCCCTTTTTTATGATGCATCCTGTAATACTACCTTTCTTTATTACTGCGTTCTTCCCTGAAGATATAAAAAGCTACAGCAACAATAATATGCTAGCCATTTTGTGATGTTGTGCATTTTTAAATCCTGTCCATCGGCCATTTCTGAATTCAATAAGTTTTTGACCTAATAATGAAACAAGTTTAATCTAACGATGGTAGCACTAAATAAATATACAGAGTACTTTTTGTTTAAATATTAACTTCTTGAAACAGAAGGTATACAAGCTAAATCTATGGTTTAAGTTCTTCCAGCATAGTGCTTTTCTGATCACAATGCATTTGATTTGGGTTTTGTCCAGATATTGTGGGATATGGAAGAAATAGGTTTTTGTACTGTGCAGTACAGCTTTTGGGTAACCCCTTGTCTTAAAACTGGGTGTAGCATAATTAGCAGGCTTTTATCAGAGCAGAGTCGAGAAAGGAACTGATCACTTTATCTTTTTATTCCCTGACGCAGATCTTCTAATAGGTTATCATACCTTGTACAGAGGACTAGATGTAGTTTTAGTTACGTAATGAAGTCTGTTTTCTGGATCTTTCTTCTCTTCACTACAAAGATTATACATCAACATGTATTATCGAAGCACAAAACTTGAATCCTTTTATCTGAAAAAAGAACACAGATCACACGGGGGCTAAGAATACTAGACTTTCATATGGAGTCTAGGCTTGAGTCCTAGGTCTACCCAGCCTTGAGCAGGTTGCCAGGTAAAGTCCTGGGAAGTAAAAACTCTGGTGTAATTCTGACCACATCACCCACCAAGTGCTGATTGGTCTATAAAATGTAAGTCTAGCCCTTTATGCCCAATACGCCTGAAGGTGCGGAAAAGGGGTCCTTTTCAGTTGTCAGTGTGACATAAATCACATGTCACACTGTACATCAATACTGCACTGAAGTCTTCAAATTATCCATTATTCATTTTATGTTCATATTAACTCTGCAGTAATGCACCTAAGGGGATACAGCAAAATATATCACACAGTAAATTCATAAACAAGAAAACATTGTTTTAATAAAAGGAAATAGTAACTGTTCCTGATTGGTTTTGTTTCACATATAATAAATAATTATCTAGACTTACATAGCAAATAATTATTTAGACTTACATAGCAAATAATTATTTAGACTTACATAACGGGCAAAAACAATGCCAAACAACTATCTTGTAGGAATAGATCAGATATTTACAGAGTGATAGAATAATTTTAAACCATGATAGCAGGCTTTGAAAATAGAACTTAAAAAAAAAAAAGAACTACTGATGTAGGCCAGCCATGAGATCCTCGGAACTAGAATTTCACTTTTAAATAAATAAAACAAACGGGCCAAATTTCCTAACTGTGATGCAGTTGTAACCCTGTGCTTTCTAAAATAAAAAAAGATAAAAGTTGTTTTAACCTTATGTTTAATAGTTGAAATCTTTTTTTACATTTGAATCGAGATTAATCTGGAGATGGCCGATGCAGGAAATTAATCTGTGAATATTTATTTTGGGGTTGCCTGTTTGAGTTTCTTTTGGATTTTGTGCATTTGCTTTTCTCCCACCCATGCCATTTATATTTTTTATTATGCAAACTGCCACTAATACCAGATTTTTAAGATAAATCCTGCTTTGTCGTCTGCTATTGCCACAATAAACTTAGTAATTGTCTTACAGATGTAATCCCCCGTGTGGGTTCCGGGGCCCCATTGTAGGGGAAAACAAGAATAGACCCACTGCCTCCCCAAAAGCATGTCGTAAGAGTCGACTAATTGGGGAAGCTTCCTTTGAAATCGGAGTGCATCTGCCGGAGAGGCAAGGAACCAACAGTCTGTATTCAAGAGAATGAGATCTGTAAAACTGATGCACACGCAACACTCAGGTTCTGGAGCAGGACTGCAGTTCAGTAGTGGACAAACAACCAGAACTTTCCGCCAGAGTGTACAGCTGGTGAACGTGAAGAAGAACAGATGTAATATATTTTCTCTGCCGATGTCCCAGTGATATAGCAAGTTTGCGAGTTCAGCTCACTGTTAAGTTAATACTGGATTGAGGAACACTTATTACAGCAACGTCGTCACCCTTTCTTTGATCCAAGCAGTTACTGCCCTAAAATATCTTAGTGTCGTTGTTGTTGGTATCTTCTTACACCAGCTGCCACTAATACCAGATGTGTATAGTGTTGGTATCTTCTTTTTTATCTATAAGATAACACAATATCTGGTTTGAGAATGGAGATGGCAGTCACAGAAGCTTTTCACGACTTGAGAACCAGCTGCACACACATCATGGTTGCAGCAGTTTCACCTAACCTGCTGAGAATGGCGGTGACAGGCATGGTGCTTAGTTAAGATCCCTGGTGGTTAGCATCTGTAATATCTTTTTTGATTGGTATTAGCAGGCATGAAGATTGGCAGGTGTGCACCATTGGAAAGTAAATTGATACATAACAACTAGACAAGTAACAAGTGAAGAAACTTAAAGCCTTTAATATAGACCATGATACTTGGGAACCTGCTGCACAAGACCGGTCTACATGGCGAACATCTTTTAGAAGAGGGCCAGTGATCTAAGAGGCTTCAAGAAAAAAAGGAGCTGAACAGCGCTGGCAAGTATGAAAGAAAAGACCCATAAAACAGGCCCTTCACTTAAGACACTGTTACCTGCCCTGGTTATTCTAGTTCCTTAAGGTCCCGTATTGGGCTTATAATTCACTTCCTGACTCAGAAAACTCAACTATAGTTTCATGTTGGACGAAAGAAAGCAACCCTGATTACCTGTGATGGATGAACCAACTAAGTGTAGATAATGACACAGCAGGGAGTGGCAAGGAGGTATGGCAGACACTCAACACTCAGAGGAAAAGCAAGATGGACATATAATTAAATTGCTGATAGTACCATTGGCTTTGAAACTCTTCACTGGCTGCTCAAGATGGGGATGAAGTGAATATTGGAATTCCTCAAGTGCTGTGATGTCAGTTCTTAACTCAACGGTGTACTCAAACAGACCAGCATCCATGCCTGGTGGTGTATATTGAGCAGTTGGTGTCAAGCTACTTTTCTGCAGCCCTGCATGGGTTATGTGGTCACTATAACATAATCATCATTACTTTCCAGAACATTTCTTGGTCAGTTTAAAAAAGCTGCCTCGATAGCGGATTGACCATTTTGCCGCAAGACAAGCTCTCAAAACTGCTCTTAACTTGACCGTTCTGGATGGGGTACATCCCTCAGGCATGGTGCATCAGCCTGCCAGGCAGCGGAAAGTTCACAGGCAGAGAAATGGAGGCAGACTAGAAAGAACCGTATCTCTAATCCCACACTTGCTGCGGCTTTCACATGTTGTCCACACTGCTCTTGAACTTTATAGGCTCAAATTGGACTAATCAGCCACTCACATACTCATAAACACTGATCACTACCACTTTGTACGAAAAGTGGTCTTCATCACTCGTGACGGACGAACAACAAGGCAAGCTTGCTTGTGGTTGTACTGAAGTGGCACGTGGAGTTGTGTTGTCAGAAGTAGAATGCGTGGATGCATTCATGTCCACTTCCTTACTGTTTGAAATACACAATAATTCAGGAATCAGTACAGGATTTGGTTCCAGCATCAACCCACCTTCACACAATAGTTTCTAGAAATTGCCCAGAAAAGAACAATGGTAAATAAATAAAGACACTTACTGAGGCATAAGACTCCACACTCTCTACAGCTGTGTTTGCCACATTACCTTCTACTATCAAGTGTTTTGCTTCGGTGTGTTGTGTTTTGGCCGAAGTTACATGTCTTGACATTCTTGCATGACAGATGTGGTACATGGTTATGTGTGCTGATTTTTTTTTTTTTTAATACCTGTATATATCTGGTTTTGAGCACAGTTTAGGGGCTTTGTATTATTTTGGACTTTGAAGACAAATGTATCCTTTGTCAACTTAAAATAGGCTTTATGTAATTACACGGTTTGAAAATGTATTTGAAAAGTAAACTCTATGTAGGCTAAGTCTAGAGCTTTTTGTTTTAAGTATAGAGCTGAGGAAAAGACCCTGGAGTTGGATGGGTCACCTAGTCAGAAAATAAAAACAATATAACTAAGGAATAAAGGCAGGCCAAAAACAAATGAAGGGAAAAGATATGGACGACATGGGGTCAGCTAAACAAAAAAGAGCAAAAGATAGGACTGGCCATGAGGCGATTGAGGTCCTGTGAATAGAGAGGTGCAGGAGACCGAATATAATCCTGCTTGCTTGTATATAGTCATACCTCCATGCCCCACTGCTTTTATTTTTGTTGTTGCTCTAATTGTCTATAATTGGATGAAAGTCAAGTCCAGCATTATTAATGTTGTTTTAATGACTATTATTATTAGCCAATGTTAGAGTGCATTAGTCTGTGATTGTGGAATTCTAGTTTGTGTATATCCAAGAATGTTATTTATTGACCATGCATGAAATTGTTTTCTCTGAAATTATTTTCTCTGAAATTATTATTTAATATTCATTTTTCCCCCACAAGAAAGATGATCAGCTGTGGTGGTATAGTGGTTATTTTGCTTGCCTGTCGAGGCAGTAGTCAGGGTTCAGTCCCCAGAATTAGTAACCCCCTCCGCCCAATCAGCACGGCTCTGAGGTTGACCCAGCCTCATCGAATGGATGCCAGATATTTTCCAGTTTTTTCTGAAAAAGAGAGGTGGTGAGAAAGAGAACTAACTGCTGCAGGCTACTCTGTGGAAGTGCTTACCCCAATTGCTTCTGGCGTGGACTCTATTGGTGACAGGGGAGAGGGTGTAATAATATGCCCACTCTACAGATTTCAGACGAGCTTGTTGTAATAGACAAGCGGTTGGGGGGTTTGCTCGAATTAGATGTGTTCGGTCGAAAGGCACATGTGTCACGCGCAGCCCAGCTGTGAACCACAACGTGATGTACTGCAGAAGAAGACCACCCCAGTGGCAGTCTTTCATATGGGACTACCTTTATTATAATGTTGATACACAAGACAGAGTTTAAAAAAAAAATAATGACAGTGTAATGTGATGCAAATATTTTGTTATTTATTAAAGTAATTCTTCAAATAATTTATGGAACTAGATAGACATAATTTTGTTGTTTTAAGTATGGCTAATCAGACATTAAATTTGCAAATGGTGATCATTTTGTTGTTAAAAACAGTGCCCTAAAAACATTTTTTATAACTTAAAAACTTTAAAAAATATGTTGTCGTTATGATGCATATCTGCAGTTACATATGCATACTTTGATTTTGATGTATGTTGTTTACTTTATGAAGCTCAGAAAATTGACACATAGCTTTATTCTTTTATTGCATTGATTTGTTTTGTCTTGCCGAGCTGTCTGATCCATTTATGCCTGTTCAATTGCAGAAGTCAACATCAGACCTCAGTAAGTTATTTGAACTGGGGCCTGAGCCTGACCGGCGTCCATTCCTGGAGCGCATTCTTGGTTTCTTAGAAGAGAGCGGCCAACCAGTCACAGCTCTGCCAATAATCAGCAAGACACCACTAGATCTGTACAAGCTGTACTTTTGTGTTCGAGAAAAAGGTGGATTTGAAGAGGTACGAAACACAATGTCTTAACTGGCTCTGTTGCTTGTAGGAAGGCACCTGAATGTTTTTGTTAGGCAAAGATGTTCCGAGAGCCACAACAGTGTAGTGAAGCGTAGCGGCTGGACCTTCTCCTGCCAGCCAGCCAGAAGGTCTTGGGTTTTAATCGAGGTAGAGTTTAAAAAATGTGCTCCTTGGTTGATCCTGCCTAAAGTCTTTATGCCCAGGGAAGTAAGGATGGCTGGCTTGATGCTAACCCCTTCACCTATTAATTGTTGATTGGTCTATAAAAATGTAGGTCTGGTGCCAGTTCTGGGGGGGAGGGGGGGGGGTGTTCCACATTTTGTTTTGCCTACTCTGTCTCTCTCTCTCCCCCACTCTCTCTCTCTCTCACGCACACACACACACACACTCCCCCCCCCCCCCCTCGCCCCTTTCCCTCCAGTTCTGTTAGTGTTTTTATTGTCTTCCAATGGGGCTTAAGATAAAAAGGAATCATCGTCATGATCTGTAATGCAGTTTGTCATTGGGCCTCCATTCGCTTTTGGCTGTCTGTCTGCCTCCTCATAGCACAGTATAACACTGTCATCTGCAGGGGTGCCCAAAACCAGACTAGTTTTTGTTTTCCGCCCTTCTGGGGGTGGAAGCTGCTGTTGTGTAGCGGCTAGACGCTCGTCTGTGGATCCGAAAGTCGTGTGTTTAAATCTGCAAGGTACTGGATATTTTTAAACATGACCTTGGCCCTCAGGTGGACCCAGCTTTAATTGGGTATCAAGTGAAGTCCTGGGAAGTAGAGTCAATCCTTTTATGCCCTAAGAACCACTTTACTTACCTTCCTAGGAGAGCTGGATGCCTCCTGTGCTGCTGGTCGCAGTACCAAGTATGACTACACCTTGCAGACAAAATGTAGAAATAGGGCTGTTTGCACAAGTATTACATAATTCTTTGTGTGTGTGTATGTGTATGTCTTTATTTCTGATAATTTTTCTCTAGGAAGTCAATTGTTTTAAATCTGCAATCTACTTTTATCTGGTCACTCGATCATGTCTTTAAGTCTCAGACATTTGTTTTAATCAGAATACTTTAGTTAGTCTGAAGGGGTGGAAGTACAACTATGGGGCAGAATTAGTTAATACAGCAGCTGGGTTAGAATGTTTTAAAGTGACAGGAAAAGCTAAGAAAAATGAAGAAATAGATTCCACGTGCAAGGAAAGAAATGTTCAGTACAAAATGACTGTACTTGAACAAAGAATACACCTTCCATATTACAGGTGATTAAAAAAAAATTTTTTTTTTATTATTTGCTTTTTACATGCGGTCCAATTTTGTCTCTGTGTCTCAGGTAACAAGAAGTAAAAAGTGGAGAGATGTCTGTACAGTTGTAAATATTGGCACCTCAGCCAGTGCTGCTTTTACATTAAAGAAAAACTACATTCGATACCTCTTTAACTATGAGTGTAAATATGACCGAGGAGGAATTAACCCTGCACCCATCCTCGCTCAGATGGAGGCTCTGTTGGCCCACAAGAGGGAGCAGAAGAGCAAACGGGCACCATCTCCAGGTTTGGCATTTATTTCTAGTGCTAGTCGAACGTGTGTGTACGCGCGCGCGTGCCTTGTTGTTGTTGAATGATTGAGTTGAGCTTCGCGACTCTGTTTCAACATGTGTTGTTTTTATTGGTGTTATTTTGTCAGAGTCCAGGAAAACTAGACCGTGCTGTCTCTGGTTTTTTTTAATAAACTAACTTTTCTTTCTTTCTTTCTTTCTTTCTTTCTTTCTTTCTTTCTTTCTTTCTTTCTTTCTTTCTTTCTTTCTTTCTTTCTTTCTTTCTTTCTTTCTTTCTTTCTTTCTTTCTTTCTTTCTTTCTTTCTTTCTTCATGGCTCACTAGCTGTCAACACTGGTAGAAATTTCTGATAGTTCTTCCATGTCTGGATTTTAGTCTCATTCCAGAACTTGAGCATATATGTTTACAGAAGTTTATTGCACAGTTTATAACGATGATATATTTGTGGTTTTGTTAAATAGTAAACAGTTTTCCAGAGCTAGTATTTCTCACAGCATAAAAATGTAGTCACTTTCGTAAAGTTTGTATAGCCTTTACTATTGGTTTGGTTAGCACAGCTGCTTAAGATTTTCCAGTACAGTAAAACTTTGATTCGGACTATTTTCAAAAATGACCTTGGCTCCCAGGTCGACCCAGCCTTAAGTGCAGTCCCGGGAAGTAAAGGTGGCTGGCGTGATGCTGACCACATCACCCATCTTGTGCCGATTGGTCTATAAAAATGTAGGTCTAGCCCTATGTGACCTATACGCCTAAAGGCGTGGAAAAGGGTCCTTTTACTTTCATTTAAAACTTTAACTGTTATTGTCTAGATCAGGGCTATGATGAGTAACCGAAAAGATAGATAACAGAAATCTATTAATACATGTGTATGTACAGTAAGAGATTAGGCATATATATATATAAGCGATGGGGGGTCATCAAAACATAAAAGAAAACATTCGTTCCAACACACAGGCCACTCTGTCACAACTTAGACCAATAGGTAACACAGTAGCGACTGGTTAGTAATGGGTTTGTGGTGCCTCAGATCGTGCTCACCTCTTCCATCACCAACGATTAGTCACTTCCACCATCATACAGTGCAGTCACTTCCAGCTTTATACATTAGGGTATGGAAGTAATCTGTGGAAATTTTTTTAAATGTCTGTTGATGGTCACACAATTATTTGTTTAAGACGGTGACGGATAACAAAAACTTATGGTTGAATAAGTAATAGTGAACCAAAGTTTTACTCTACATCTCTTCCTGCCTTGCCTAGTCTCTCTTATTTAGTATTTTTATTCACATCATATAATTTTTTCCTCGCGTAGGTTCCAGGGCCCTATTATAGGGGGGAAAGAATAGACCCACTGTTTACCCAAAAGCATGTTGTGTCAACTAATTGGCAGCTTCCTTCGAAGTCGGAGTGCTTCTGCCTGAGAGGCAAGTAACCAGCAGTCTGCATACAAATGAGGCGGCTCTGTAATTAAAACGAATGTACATGCAACATTCATGTTCTGGAACCGAACTGCAGTCCAAAAGTGGATGAACAACCAGAACTTTCTGCCAGAGTTAACAGCTGGTGGTTGCAAAGAAGAAGTAGAATATTCATTTTATATTCCCCCTTTTCTTTTCTTTTTTTAACCGTACATGTAATTTACCTTTGCCTTGTTTTGATGAGTTATCTTGTAGCACCTGCAGCTCTTATTGCCAAATTTTTGTTTGCTTCTGTGTGCCTAGCATTCTCATTATTATTAACAAAAACTAGCTGCAGTTGCTTCCACCTTTTAAACCTTGTTCTCACTTTTAGATAATTTCATTTCCCCCCAAACGAAATGTCTGCATAACGTTGTTTACCCAATTTCCCCTCCACTTCCAACAGGTTCAAACTCAAATGAATCATTCCGACCACCGAGTGTTCCCAGCAGTGATTCTTCTTCCTACCAACAACAACCAGCTATGCCTCCTCCTTACATGCAGAACCTTGATGGTGGTATGCCTAATCCACTTGTGAGCGGGGGTGTCATGATGGGGAGTCCAGGCCCTAACTGTGGAGTGGGCAGCATGATGGGAGGCCCTCAAACCATGGGTCCCTCTGGGATGATGGGAAGCCCAGGACCCAACATGATGCACGGACAGCAAGGAATGATGCCGCCAAATGTGGGAACAGGGAATGTCATGGGTAGTCACATGATGCCAGGCGGGCCTGCCGGTTATGGTGGCCAAATGATGCAGCATGCTGGAGGATCAGTATCCCACGCTGTCTCTAGCAGTGCTTGCGGTCCATCCGTCCATTCTCACGGCATGTCGGCAGCCGGACCCATGCCAGCTACTGGAGACAGTATCAGTGTTCAGGATCCATTTTCAGATGAGTCAGGCTACTTGCAGCAGCGGGGAGGCCAGCTCCCACCGGCGCTTTCCCCACAGTTGGTGTCAGTAGCCACTTCCACACACATGGCAAGTACCTCAAGCCGGCCAGTGCCATCTGCGGGATATACTGGCCCAGAACAACAGGTTGGTGGGTTTCCACCAAATTCCAGCGGACTGAATGATCCGATGTCTGCCAGCGGGGATCATTTTCCTTTTGGTCAACAGTTTGAACGACCTGACAGGTTGGTGAGGACCTTTCTTGTGTGTACATGATTTGTTTCTTTTTCGGGATTATATCAGTTCAATTGCTTTAGAATCTGGCTAAACACTTCACAGACTGATATAACTTCAGTCAAGGAAATTTTTAGAGCCCAGATTTGAGGAGAAAGAGTTGAAAATGTTATTGTTTTAGGCCATGCTCTGAAATTTCTTGCAAAAAAGCAGAGAAATGGTGCTAATAAACCAGCTGTGGTGATGAATATGTGTGTATTCTGCCTTTAATCCACACAAAAATAGCTAGATCTTGTCTAACTTAACACATAGACTTTATATATCCTATCCTCTCTTTTGCCGTTAAACCTGCGGGTTCCAGAAAGACTTACTAATTATACTATTAACAGGTTTTCTTATTGTGTTCCCTGTCATCTTTTCTTCACTTCTTGATTTACTGGGATTTATTTAGTTCTCTCCATGAGGTCCACTGGCATGATCTTCTTAGATCATGTTAGTTTTGTATTGAAAATTTGATGTTAGATTTTACATGGTTTTTGTTGTTGTTATTGCCTTCTACAAATTTCCTACAGCAGTTAAGATTCTCTTGCTCTTTGCATTTTTTTTACACACGCATGTGCGCGTGCACACACACACACCTACCTCTTTTTCCATTTCCCCAACACTATCTGCAATACTACCTAAAGTGTGCGCAGTTTCACTCTAATTAACATCAGATATTAATTTTAAAAAAGAATATTTAAACAGAATGTTGAAATAGTGAACATGAAGTTAGTTGCCTATCCTTTATAGGACTTCACATGTCCTAAGATATATTAACCCCACATTTCTCCTTCTTTTTAGCATTTACCAGCCTTTAAACTCTGGCGAAAAGTTCTGGTTGTTTGTCCACTTCGGGACTTGATTGTTACAGAACTTGAGTTTTGCATGCACATCCGATTTGCATGGTTCCTCACCTCCAAGGCAGGTGGCATCTAATTCTGAAGGAAACTCATATTTAATCGACACTCACGGCTTACTTGTTGGCTGCTGAAACAAACCCCCATGGGGATAACCCTGAAGTTATTGGTTGCTAGACATTTTTACAGCAAGTGTTTTTTGTCACTGCTTTGTAAATGATGTTCATGTCATTGTCAAACTCAGTGTGGTTTGCTGCCGAATCTCCAGGTGACTTTGAACTCTGGTATGACGATATTTTGAAACTGCATTCACTAGCCTTAAGCCACCAAATGTTAGACTCACTTTATCAAGTAAGTGATAAGTAAAGAACCCATTCTACGCCTTCATGCATATTGGGCATATAAGGCTAGATCTATATTTTATAGACCAGTCGATGTCAGTTTAGCATCATGCTGGCCGCCTTTACTTTCCAAGACTCCACCTGCTACCCTTTCAAGGCTGGGTCGACTTGGAACTAAGGTAGTTTTTGAAGAAGAAAAAAGTCAGGACCGGAACCCATGACCTTCTGATCCCCAGGCGAGCATCTAGCCACTACACCACAATGGCGATCTCTTACATATAAAAGCTTACCAGTTTGTTTCATCCAATTCAGACAGTATGAAATATGTATATGTTTTACCAGTGTATCATTTACCACCCCAGTCACTGCTTTCAATTGTGTCTACTCTGTTGATCAGGTTTGATCAGTCCAGTCCTAGTATGGGTGTGAGACCTGCTGTTGCTAGTCCTGGCATGCCACCATTACAACAGCCACCTCAACAGCCAGGGGACAGCAGTAGCCCACAGATGTACCCAGGACCTCGTTTTCCAGGACCCCACCAGCCTGTTGGCATCAGACCACCACCGGGGTCTGAAACTTCAGGGCCGTACCCCCAGCAGGGACCCTTGTATCAGAGCCAGGGAGGTCCTTATCCGGGGCCTCAGTACCCAAACTATTCGCAAACTGCTCCTGGGTCTTACCCCGGGCCAAGGCCAACATCGGGTGTGGGTGGACCATATGGAACTCCTAGCAAGAGATTCGCAGATGAACATGCAGGTATTGTATTGTTTTTGTGTGTGTGCGGCTTATCTTGTTTTCTCCTCTGTTGTCTTTAAATTGTTAAATTGTTCTTATGCCTAGAATTTTCAATTCTGCTTGATATGTTTTGATTTGTGTGTTCACTGGTGCACTTTAGGCAGCTGTTAACTGTTTAGGTAGGTATGTTCTGATTCTGTCCTACCATTATGTGTGGCCACACATTGAAGAAGGTTCAGAATTTGTTCAGAATTTGTTGTTGAAATGTGATCACACTAAGCCATACTAAGTTATACTGGCCATTGCCGTGGGCTGCGGTTCTCATGCCTCTCTGCAGAACAGTATAATAGAGTCATCCAGAAAGACAGAATGGTGCTAACTAACTAATCACATTTGTTAACTTCTCTTTGAACAGCCTCAGGCCAGTTTGCTGACTGGTCTAGTCCAGGCTTGGGAAGTCATGTGAGCTACCCATCGGCACCTCCAGAGAGACAGGCTCCATCACCAGATGGTAGGGCCGCTTGTTTAAAAAAAAAAAAATTTTTTTTAAAACCCTAGGGTATCTGTTGTTTTGTTCACTTTATTCATCATATTTGCCTGCTAACATTTCCTTGCCAGAGTTCTAAATGTTGGGCTGTATGTGTGTGTGTGTCTGCAAGTTTGGGAAGTGAGAATATTGGCTAGCTGCTAAGGGTGGCTGTGCATTTGTGCTTACAGCCAGAGAAGTTTTGTCTTTGGTTTTAATATCAGGGTTTCCATCTACTTTTTTCCCCCCCCCGTTGGCCTTTTAAAGAGGGAGTTGGTACGCTGTGCTGTGGTTTGTGGCAAGGTTGCGAGTTTTAGCATTCTGTGCATTCATTAGTTGCAGTGCCTAGCATTTTGGTACTTTCTCACTGAAATATTTGGCTGTCATCTGAATAACGGCCACATATTATTGGCCCCCCCTCCCCATCACCCTAACAGGGCCTCAATCACATGTAAATTGTGGACTTCTTTCCGGCGAATATACCGCAGCAAAAGTAGGATAAAGTTCTGATGATGTTGCGAAACTCAATAAACCAAGTTAAACTCGCCGCAGAGAGTTTCTCGCTCTACGCGGAGGGGGACTAGACTGACGTATCGTGCAGCTTCCTCATTTTATTTGCTCATGAATCCAAGCCATCTAGTTTATCCCCCCTCCGCGGCGCGGGGGATACTCTCGGCGGTGAAAACTGCGTTACCAATGCAGCACTAGCCGCACCTTGTTTCCATCATATTAAGCCGAATTTCAATGTCGCCACAGCCACAAAGAACAAATTTTCAGACACTATTTGCAGCCTCTGTGTCACAATTTTCCAATATAAAGGCCTCAATTATTGCTAAGTAGTCAATTTTGTGATTTTCCCTTTTTTCGTTCCTCATTATTTTTTCGTTCAAGTTTTTTGCATGTTTACAACACACTACCTAAAAAGGCCCTGTCTGGGTGTTGTTTTTTTTTGCCTTCATAATCTGTGGCCGTTATTTGGAGGATAGCCAAATATTTTATCAGTAAATATTGGTAGATTATGTTATACAATAAAAGCGCGCGCGCGCACACACACACACCAGCTCTAACTTTAGCATGTTACTTATGTGATAGACAGAGAGTCCTTATTTAATCATTCACATTGTCATCAAATGCAGGGGTTTGTTTGTGACAAGGATATACAACTAACTTTAACCCACACATGCACACACACACAAAACAAACCCCCCCCCCCCCCCCCCCCCCCCCCCCCCCCCCCCCCCCCCCCCCCCCCCCCCCCCCCCCCCCCCCCCCCCAATACACCAAAAAAAAATAGACTCACACAAATAGACTTAACTGAGTGATCTTCCTGCTACAGATCGAATCCGTGATGGAGGACAGTGGTCACCCATGCAGAGGTCTAGGATGTCACAGAGCGGGCCGGGCTATTTGTCACCTGCCCCGCCCTCAACTCCACCTATGGGTCAGTATGTCCGGCAGGTGACACATGTCGGCTCCCCTCAGACTAGGGAGATGTCCAGGATTCCAGCGACAAAAGTACCTGTAAGATTTTAATTATTTTTTTTTTAAACAATTCCAATTTAGAGATCCATTGAAGTGTAGTTTTTAAAGTAAGTAAAAATTTTTTGACATGTTAATTATTTTTAATGAAGAAATGTTAAATATGCTTGTATAAGTATTTTATGGGTCTATGTATTTTGTCTCAAATGTCACGTCATCTCTTTCTCTCTACCGCCTTAGGTGTCGAGAAAGTTAAAGGTTCTTGTTCTGCTCTACTGGCTGCCTCAGGCTTGGACGTTTGATACTTTTGTAGTTTCTCAGTCATTATCGGTCTACATTGCTCCTTGTTATGTATGTGTATGCCTTTATAAAATGGCAGTCCCAGGCATTCTAAAGTTTGGTGTTAGTTCCCACTGGCTTTTCCAAACGTGTAATTTCCATAGTTACTTTTTATTTCTGTATGGTTATAAGTGACCATGTCTGGTACTGATAGAAAACTTTCGTTGGTTTGAGCACCAGCTGCACACAACATGTTGTGATTGTCACGGGCTTACCGAGTAAATTAATGCGTACAAGATAGCTTTTATTATAAGCTTCCTTAATAGATCATCACAGTCTAAAGAGCCAGGGACTTTGGTCGACATGAAACACTTAGAACACAGGTGAGACGGACACACAGTCAGATTGTTACTGGTACCATCCAAATTAAAACTCTTTGCTGGCTGCTGAAGATGGGGATAGAGCACTTTTAAGAATTTTCAGAGCGATATGATGTCAGTTCTGAAGTCATCCCTGGTAGCACAGGGTGTATAAAAATTTGCTTTGTAGATTTCTTTGTGCTGATTGTTAGTTTATATATTCCAAATTTGCTCAAGCAGTCATTGCCAGTGTATGAATGTTCCAGGTGTCTTTTTTTAAAAGATTTTATTCTGTTTGTTTGACTGTTTGGAATTATTTCTTGCACTTAGTCATCATCATCATCATCAGTTTCTACTTCTGCCATTAGGGACAGGTTAAACCCCCAAATTGAATCTGATTAAATCTGTTGGAAACAGATTTATAGACTCTCCCATGTTCTACAAATGATTTACCTTTATTGGCAGCAACTTTATCTAAGAGTCTTTTCCCCATCCTCTTCTGGACATGACCACATTCTAATTTCCTAACTGCGTTGTGGGAAAGAAAAGTTTGCGATCCATTGCTCGGTGGGCAGCAGTGGCTATTGTCATTTTGTGTTGATGTAGAAGCTCTTTAATGTCATCAATCCATGTTCTCTTAGGTCAGGCTCTTGCTTTCATTAAAAATTGTATGTAGGTTGGGCTTTGATAAATGTCCAAGTCTGGCACTGGTAGCACAGTGTTGATATGAATATGCTGTTTATAATCTGTTTCTTGGCACTCATACTTATGATTGGATGTCTTAATAACGGTGTCAGTTGGGACATGAGTGCACTGGCTTGTAAGTATCTTGTTTCTTTTTTCCGATCTACTCTTCCATCCTCCAGGAATATGCTTCCTAGATATTTAATTCTTTTACTTGCTTCAGACATGTACCATTCAACCTGATATCTAGCAGACTAGGAATTCTGCTGACCTCATTACTTCATTATTAGTAGTATTTATTTTCATTCTTCATCTTCTGCATGTTGAACTTAGCCTGTTCAAATGGTCTTGCAGTCTGCGCCTCTCACTTAGTGACCTTTGAGAGAATATGCACTCATTTCTAATGATAAATGTTTCCGATGAATTGATTTCTTTGAGAAATCTATTGTTTTTCCCACTGCCTTCTGTTAGGATACATTGTAAGTTTAAAAATCCTTTGAGGCAGCTCTTTGATAAAATTGTCTGCTAGAAAAGTGATGCTGTTATCATTCGTCGCTGACATGTTTCTTGTATGCATCATATCCACCCCTTCTCCTCAAGTTAATAATTGTTACATATTGTGTTGTTTTTCTGAAAACAGTTGTGATTGAGCTGTTGCATGGGGTTAGTACTTAGAAACTTCAATGATTTATTACTTAGAGGAAAAACAAAATGGACATACAATCAAATCTCTGATAGTGCCATTGCAAACTGCTGAAGGTTGAGGTTGAGCGCTTATGGGAATGTCCCTAGTAATGTATTAGTTCCTAACTCATCTCAACTCTTAAACATTACTAACTGATGCTCAGAGGCAAAATAATTGATTTCTTTGCACCAGGTTTTACCCCAAATAGCCCAGTCTCTCACCGTAGAGTGGCTGTGAGCTCACTGAGATTATCCCACAAAGGATGAAACTCCTGAACTCCAGCTACAGCCCTTAAAATATTGTTAAGCACTTGCAGAGCGATTGCTGGATTTTTAACTCAACTGACAGTCTTCTAAACAACAACTAAACTACTTCACAACATCTTAGCTTTACATTATTACAATTACGAAAAATAAACAAATGTTTTTGGCTAGAAAGTCTTCCAGTAATACAATTACAAAGAAAATGCAAAATCATGAACCCGTAAATATCCATTAAATGTTTGAACAGTAGAAACTCTTGAGCGCACATATATTAAAGGAAGAGGGTAGTGATGACACATGAAATAAGTTCAATTCTTCCTTACATACAACATATAAATATTGAAGATATTTCCTTTCCAATACTATAGACAGTTGACGGGGATGTCCACTTGTACTTCTGAGGGTTTTACTAATGCCAGTTTTAAGCAAGGCTGACCTGAAAACCCTGGGTAAATTATCTCCCCTGTTTGGTGGCATAAACATTTTTTTTTTGTCTGCAGCTTATCTCCGCTGTTTGATGGAAAAACATTATTTCTGGTTACAACTATCTCGGCTGTTTGATGAAATAAACATTATTTCTTGTCTACAATTATTTCCGCTGTTTGGTGAAATAAGCATTATTTCTTGTCTACAATTATCTCCCCTGTTTGATGAAATAAGCATTATTTCTTGTCTACAATTATCTCCGCTGTTTGATGAAATAAACATTATTACTTGTTTACAATTATCTCCTATTTTTGGTGGAATAGACATTGTTTCTTGTCTACAGTATTTCTTTGGTTATATTGTCCTGTCATCTCCTTGTGAGATGCAATTTATCATTATTTTGAAACCCCACCCTGGTTCTTGCCAGGGGCCGCAATTTAGCCCAGCCATTAGCTCCACGGGTGATCCTCATCCACATGGTGGTACTTTGTGTCCTCAGATGTTTATCGCTTGTGTGATGTCCTAGTGGGGTAAAAAAAAAAAACTACTATTACTACAGTGTTTCTTGTCTACAGTTATCTCCACTGTTTGATGGAATAAACATTGTTTCTTGTCTACAATTATGTCTGTAGTTTGATTGGTAAAATAAACATTGTTTCTTGTCTGCATTTGATATCTACTGTTTGGTGAAATAGTTTCTTGTCTACAGTTTTTTTCTACTGTTTGGTGAAGTAAACATTGTTTCTTGTCTACAGTTGATCTTTGCTGTTTGAAATAAACATTTTCTTGTCTACAGTTGATCTTCGCTGAAACTTTTTAATTTTTTTTTTTTAAACGTCTCTGCTGTTAGATGGAATTAACGTTGTCTACAGTTGTCTCTGCTGTTTGATGGAATGAACATTGTTTCTTATCTATAGCAGTCTTCCCTGTTTGATGGAATAAACATTCTCTGTTGTCTTCAATTGATCTTTGATATTTGATGGAATAAACATTGTTTCTTTATTACAATTTTTTGCTGCTGAAACAGTGTTTCTTGTCTACAATTGATCTTTTCTGTTTAATGAAAGAAACATTGTTTCTTATCTATAATTGATATTGCTGTTTGGTGGAATAAAGATTGTCTCTTGTTCACAGCTGATCTCTGCTGAAACATTGTCTCTTGTTCACAGCTGATCTCTGCTGAAACATTGACTCTTGTTCACAACTGATCTCTGCTGAAACATTGTATGTTGTTCACAGCTGATCTCTGCTGAAACATTGTCTCTTGTTCACAGCTGATCTCTGCTGAAACATTGACTCTTGTTCACAGCTGATCTCTGCTGAAACATTGTCTCTTGTTCACAGCTGATCTCTGGTGAAACATTGACTCTTGTTCACAGCTGATCTCTGCTGAAACATTGTCTCTTGTTCACAGCTCATCTCTGCTGTTTGATGGAATAAACAGTGTCATGTACAGTTTATCTCCTCTTTTTGGTAGAGTAAACATTGTGTCTTGTGTATAATTGAACTCTGCTGGTTGGTGTCACTTGTGTCCTACACTGCTTATAGAACAGATCTATGTAGTTTGATGACTTACACTTTGTTTTTTGCATACATAGCTTTGCTTTAGCGGAATAAAGTTTTATGCTCGGCTTTCATAAGGTATTACAATTTAAAGCTTGATAACAGTTTTGTAGCGTGACATATATTGCTGTTGACTTGTGAAGTGTTAAAACCCTCATGCATTCTAGAAAATAATATTGAAGTAGAGTGGACTACTGTCTTAGTAACCGCTGCAGGTTGTATAGAAAAAAGCCTATTCTCAGGCTTTTTGTTTCATTTTGGCCAGTGCAGAAGAGTCACACCATGGAGGAGATTGGTACCCCAGCACCTTATAGACAGCATAACAGCTGCAGCAAGCTTCCATTAGTGACCCCAGAGCTTCATATTCTTATAGACAGCAAATCAGCTGCATCGAGCCTCCATTATGAGAAGGCTCAGTTTAGACTTAAATGGTAATACCATTGCAGAGTGGTTGAGTTGTTTACCTGGCGCTCAAGTTCTGGGTTCGTTTCATGGGCTGTATCATTCGGTTTATGAGTGCAATGTTTATGGAGACCCCTGGGGATCATCGCCGTAGCTACGATGTTTGTAATTTCAGAGACAGTTTTGGTAGTTGGCCAGCTGTTTTGGAGAGGAAGACCAAGCCATATGGGATAAAACCCATTGCAATAAAGGCGGCCCTCTCGACTCTTAACTATTGAATAATCATTGGATCCATTGCAACTTTCATTGCCGCAGCGACATTTTTCCGTATTTTTAATACCCCAGGGTGCTGTGTTTCCTCTTGGTGGGTTGGAAGTTTGCTCTTAATTAAATTTTAATGTCAATAAAAATTCAACTTTTTTTTCTTTTTGTAAATCTACTGTCGTATAAACCCCTGACATGCACAGTTACTGAATGAAAGTTTTTCCCCCCATTTCAAGCCTGCTTATGGAGGTCTACCAGCCACATCTTTGACAAAGAAGGAAGTGACCTTTCCCCCCGACTGTGTGGAAAGCGTACACATATCCACCACTAAGAGGAAGAAACTGACCAGCAAAGATATTGGTAAATAGTTAACAGTTGTGTATGACTGCAAGCTCTGCCAAAAGATCTTTAGCCTTACAGTTAAACTTTTACTTGAGTAGTGGGTGAGACGTACTGTAAAATGCGGCGAACAAGTCGACCTGGCGTACAAGTTGACCTCAAGATTTGTGTAGCTTAAAATTCTGAGCATGGGCTATACCTACCTAACGCTTTTTATAACCGCCATGTAATCCGGCCCCCCTAGTTTTTAAAATATATTTTTAGGCTCGATAACTCGACTTATACGCCGCAATTTACGGTATTTTCTGTTGAAGATAAGTAAGGCATTTGTTCTGAGTTATATTTCTTGAGATGATTTCAATAACTTGTTTAAATTATAAGTGAGTGAGTTTTTAATCTTCTTTTTCTTCTTTTCTAACATTCTAGCCTTGAGGTTTATTGCTGCAGATATCACCTGCCTCCATTCATCTGTTTTCAGTTGGTGACTTCAAGTGTTTGTAGCTCTCCACTACCTTCTTTATTTGCCTCCTCGTCTTCGACCATTCAGCTTCCTTGTGTACATAGTTTTTCTTCTCTGTTATCTGCCTTTTTCTTCCCAGGCATTTCAATTTTTATTAGAAATATTGTTTTTAACTGTGATGATAATGTTAGATTTGGATATGAGTTACATTAGAAGCATTCTTGGTTCATAACTGTTTCTTTCCCCCTCATCTTTCCAGCACCATTTGAACCCTGGCGACTGATGTTGTCGCTCAAGAGTGGGCTTCTGGCTGAGAGCACATGGGCTCTGGATACGCTGAACATTCTTCTCTATGATGACAGTACATATGGCTACTTTGGTTTGAACACACTTCCTGGGCTACTCGAGGTGCTGACGGAGCACCTACGCCACTGCCTCATGCAGATGTTTGTAGAGTTTCAGGATCTAGAAGGTCTTTCACACAAGAGAAATCAGAAAGCGGTGAAATCTGAATCGTCACATTCATTGAAATCACAAAATCAGGAGCCTCATGATGATAAAGTGTTTCATTTTTCAGGCCCAAACTATACAATGATGTCGAGAAAGAGTTTGCCCGTCAAAATGGACCACAATCCAGCAGACAGTTGCGTTTTAGAAGTCAAAGACTGGGATATGTACACAAATTTTGACACCAAGCCAGACTATTGGTTATCGGGTCGAGGAGACATTACAGATCATATTCTGACACATCTAGAAAGTGACAATTCCAGCAAATTTCTTTCAGGGCAATTTAGAAAAAAACGAACCAGAGAACAAAGTAGTGATACAGAACACTGTCCTCCCAGTTTTAGTCATTCTGAAGAAGACTGTGAAAATGTTACAGCAACAGAATTATTGCAGTATGAGAGCATGCTGTTTGTTGATAGTTGTAAGAAAGAGATGAAAATCATTGAGCAAACCAGGGTGCTCGAGGAATCTCGGTCATTGGTTGTTGAAAATGCTGGACGGAGACCTTGTGACAGTAAAACTGGTGCTGAACTACACAACACTGCTAGAGAAACTTTCAGCTCTGCTGCCGATCATTCCAACTTGTGCAATGGTGATGACATGTATGGGGAGAAGTCACCTCCCAATAGTGATTTTCTTGTTATTAAAAATGAACCTTTGATTGTGACTGAAGCAGACATTCAGAACCAGACTGATATCAAGACTGAGCAGATGAAGTTGGGCTTGAAAGACGAAACAAATGACGAGGAAGTGGCAGATGTGAAGGTTAAACATCACATAACAGAAAAAGTGAATCTATTTAAGTGTAATGAAAAATGTGATAATGTTGATGATGCTGAAATGAAAACTGTGGAAAGAGAGAGTAGTTTTGATGGTTCAAAGCCATATGAAAATGGGGACATAGAACAGCCAAAGCTGTCACCAATAGCTAACCATCTGAACTGTGACAGCTCTCTGTTGACCGACAGTGATGTGAAAAACACAGGTGAAACACCTCTGCAGAGGGCAGCTGGTATGGAAAGTGATAACTGCAGTAACAGTTCACCACCAGTGCTGAAAGCAGAGGGCTTAGACAGCGATGAAGATGTGACTCAAGGCAGCAGTGAGCCCGCAAACATCACAGAGGGTAACAGCGGTGCTGAAATCAGCACAGAAATAGAGACCAATGCTATGAAAGCTGTTTGTTCCACTGATGACAGATGTAAAGATGAAGCTGATCAAACTGATGGAAAAGAGGAGGAGGAGGAGATCAGCACTGAGCAGCAAGCATTGCAAAATTGTTGCAGTACAACAGTGTTGACAGTTGGTGGTGCTGATGATGCTGTTCCCAATGACGGTTGTGTGTCTGAAAGTGAAGAATTATCTGCCAGCATAGTTTCTGAATTGTTGAAGCAGGATGAGAGCATTGAGGAGGAGGCTTTCCACAGAGATGATCCCCCTTTGTGTGTCACCCCCGAAAGCCGAGAGGAGCTAGGTCGTCGTTGTGTGTGCATATCTAACATTATTCGCTCTCTGTCTTGTGTCCCTGGAAACGAGGCTCGCATTTCTAGATACCCAGGCATTATGAGAGTTTTAGGGAGATTGCTGCTCCTCCATCACAGCCACCCAGCAAAGCTGCCTCGCAGGAAGTTGCCATGTGGGGATGAAGAGGAAGAGAGAGAAGAGCCTCCTCGGATATACGACGACGAACATTGGTGGTGGGACTACCTTGATCAACTCCGAGAGAACACGCTGGTTACCTTAGCAAACATATGCGGTGATCTCAACCTGGGGAACTTTTCCGAACAGGTCTGCTACCCTCTCATAGAAGGTCTTCTTCACTGGGTCATCTGTCCAGCTTCAGTGGCCAGAGATCCACTTCCTACTCTTCCTCCGGGATCGGTACTGTCCCCGCAAAGACTTGTTTTAGAGGCGCTTTGCAAACTGTGTATTCATGAGATTAATGTTGATCTTGTACTGGCCACAGGACCTGTAAAGAGGATCATTGAACTCTTCAATGTGCTGGTCCATCTCTTAGCTGACCGCAGTCATCAGATCACTCGGGAATTCTCTGTTGTACTTTTGTCCCTGTTGGTAACTGGTGAGTCAACTGCAGCTCGAGCAGTAGCCCTTCAGCACCCCTCGGTGTCTCTTCTTGTTGACTTTCTGGAAGTTGCAGAACAAAATGCGCAAGCTGTTATTAATAATCAGGGAATCGAAGTTTTGCAGAGCAATCCTGAAATAATGGGCACCTCGCTAGACATGCTTCGAAGAGCTGCTACGATCCTGCTTCACATGGCCCGTGTTCCAGACAACCGTAAGATGTTTATACACCAGCAGAGCCGACTTTTAAACTTAGTCATGTCCCACACCTTGGATCAGAGCGTGTCCAACACGCTGTCTGAGGTCCTGTTTGAGTGCTCTCAATGTTCATGACATCAGTATACTAGTAGCCCCATTTGCCAACCTGCTGACTTACAGTCTGTGAACATCATGCCAAAATGTGTGTGGCTTTCTGCTCTTACAAGATGAGGACCTGCATTGAGTTAAACACCTGAGGGTTTTATGATATTATTTCACTCATGATTAGAGGAAGACGCTGTGTCATTTGTAAGTGTTCTAGGATATTCAAGAATCGCTTCAGTACGTCTAAAGTTACCAGTTGTGCTTTTGTCTGTCAGGAGCATATCTTGTTGGTTTATATTTCTGTCTATGTGACTAAATATTGCACTTTGTCCGTGGTAACAATTTTGGAGATACCTAAGTACATACACATTGTATGTCATTTTTCAATTTACGGCCTAAATAATTATTTGACTTTTAAGAAGTCCAGAGTTTTTTTTCTGTATGTTATAAATATGTTTATATTTCCACAAAGAGCTATTTTTGAATATCTCTTTGAAATGACTAAACAATCTCTATATGTTATATATTTGTTGTTTAGAAAAGGATGATGTTTACCTGACGCAGGCACGTACGAACATACAAGTGTGATGCTGAATGCCATATTTTGAATGCCTGCCGTGAGAGAACAATATTTTTTGCATGAATTTAATTGAATCTGTTGATTTTTCTTTCATCTCATCTGATATAAAACATCACTGCCTGAAAAGAACTGGAGAGAAAAAAAAATGTATTTGCTCAAACTTGTTCCTTTATGTTTTAAATAAAATGTTATTTAATTGTTCTTTGATAACAGACTGCATTTGTGTATTTTAATTGTTGCTCACTAGAATCACACTACGATGAGATATTGATCTGTATAGATAACTTGGAACTGCTGTAGAAATTATTATATTTTGAAGTGTATTCAGACTGATCCTTTTTTTTTTAAATTGTTGATTTGCCACCATAGACATTTATTTTGCATTGTTCTCAATATGTTTTTTGTCATTCACTGTGTTTAAGTGACATGTTCTAGACAACCCATTCACAGAGCCAGATGTATGTTTGAGTGACATGTTCTGGACACCTTTTCACAGATCCAGCTTTATGTTTGAGTGACATGTTCTAGACACCCCATTAACAGAGCCAGCTTTACGTTTCAGTGACTTGTTCTAGGCACCCCATTCACATAGCCAGATTTATGTTCGACATGTTCTAGACACCATATTCACTGAGCCAGATTTACGTTTCAATGACATGTTCTAGACACCCCATTCACTGGGGCAGATTTATGTTTGAATGAGATGTTCTAGACACTCCTTGGAGCCAGTTTTGTGTTGAAGTGTCACATTCTAGTCATGTTTTAGACATCTCATTCACAGAGCCAGATTTGTTATTGAGTGACATGTTCTTAGACACCTTACTCATGGAGCCAGATTTGTGTTGGAATGCCACGTTATAGACACTGTGTGAATAGAATCCTGATGATCATCGAGATTTTCAATTTTGAAACTGTTTTACTCCACTACCTCGTGAAGTCACAGAGCCGCTATCTGAAATTATGGATCCATTATTGAACACAATGGTCATGATGTCATCAAACAGGGCTTGATGTAAGTGATGCTAAAATTGGGTTTATCATTGTGGCTCTGTTAATATACTGCTGCTGGGAACTCAAAGCAGGGCTGGCTGATATAATAATTGTCTTGATATTCCCTGCCCTCTAGGCAGCTGACTAGTTGGCTTAAATGAGGAATTTGACCCTGGGCATAACATGTCACAATAGAGTATAAGACAAGTGTGTAGTCACATGTCAGGTTGTCTGGTAGTCTTAGTTTCAGCTTCATAGCAAATGGGTCACCCCATCTTTGCTCCGCTCCCTGTGCCAACGAAAAAAAAACACAGAAAGTTTATCACAGTCCCTTGTGGAAAGATTGACAGACTGCTGTCTCAGCATATCAAGCATGCACACACATTAAAGCTTACGGAAGCCATGCAAAGTGCTAACAAAACAGTGCGACATTAGAAATGTAGTTCATTGATGGTAGCAGAAGTCACCAACAGATCAGCAGTTGCCCATGCGATCAATTTTAATCACATATTGGCAGTCGAAAAAACATTTCAAATTAAATCCGCAGCTCACAGTGTCACGCCATGCATTCAACTCAGAAGCTGGGCGACGAAACTATATCCAGTCTACAAATGGAGCAAAAATGCATCGGCCACCGTCCGGCAGAAGCAAAAAATTTGCCTAGGCTCCAGCGCCCATTTTGTTAGGTTTATGTGGTGTGTAGTCACATGTCAGGTTTATGTGATGTGTGGTCGTCACATGACAGGTTTAAGGGGTGTTGTCACATGTCAGGTTTATGTGGTATGTAGTCATATGTCAGGTTTATGTGGTATGTAGTCACATGTCAGGTTTATGTGGTATGTAGTCACATGTCAGGTTTATGTGGTATGCAGTCACATGTCAGGTTTATGTGGTATGCAGTCACATGTCAGGTTTGTGTAGGGTCATAATCACACTGAGACGGGAATGCAGAGACTGGCCAGCAGGTGCCACAGAGATGAAAATTAAGCAGTCAATACAAGATAATGCTCGCTCATAGGATTTGATCATTTACACAGACGGTTCAGTGTCAAGAGGCAAAAGAAGTGCTTGGGGCTTCTTAGCAAAAGTTAATGGTCGACGTTTGGTGCAGGAGAGCCTAGCATATGATACCACAACATCCAGCTTAAGAATGGAGGTGGTGGCGGTCTGGATTTTTTCACCGGGGGACGCTGCTGTGTTGTCAAATGACTAGCTGGCTCTGCACATCTTGGTGGAATACTGATACATGATAAGGCACACGTGGTTAATGCCTTGTGGGAGAGCGTGTACAGTCTGGAGGAGCAGATGGATCACCACAGTCTGGTGAGATTGATGCAGGGGGGAGTGATGAGAGGTTCTGGCAAATGCTCAGGCTCAGAGGAAAGACAAGACGGACGTTTAATCAGAATGCTATTGGCACCATTAGTGTCGGAACTCTTCGCTGGCTGCTAAGATGGGGATGGAGCGATTATGGGAATGCCCTGAGTGCTGTGATGTCGGTTCTTGAATCAGATCAAATCATGTCATGTTTAAGTGGTGTGTAGTCACATATCAGCTTTATGTGGTGTGTAGTCACATGTCGAGTTTAAATGGTTTATAGTCACATGTCAGGTTTTAGTGTGTTATTAGGTTTATTTTGTGTGTTCTTACCTGTCAAGTTTATTTGGTGTGTTGTTGCATATCGGGTTTATGAAGTATGTAGTCACTTTTCATTTTTTTGTGGTGTGTAGTCACATCAGATTTATTTGATGTGTAGTGACATGTCAGGTTTATGTGATGTGCTGTTACATCTGCTTGTGTGTTTTCATCTGTTTCGTTTCTTCACTTTGTTGTATTTATTTATTTATTAAAATTTTTTTTTTATATTCCTTAATTTATCATAAACACTGTTGGTCTTCATTTTTATTTTTAAACAAAATGTCATTTCATGGAAACATTATATTTGCTCATATACCCATATTAACTCTTTTGATACCAAGTAGTGCATCATGCTTTGATTAATATCTAATCTAACTTTCCTCTGGTATTGGGAGTTGTTGGAAGAAAGGAAGAGGTTCCATACAATTGGAACAAAAAATGTGCTGCTTTTTTTTTTTTGAAATACTTTAAAAAAAAAAATAATTTGTCAAGTTATTTCTTTTGATAGATGATCTGATTTCATTTGTCAGTAATTGCATAAAAATGTCTTCATTATTTGCTGGTGTCTAAAACACTTTGTTGGCATAGTTGTTGAGAATATGGATGTCAGGACAGTTCTAGTTGTTATGGTTTTTGTAAGTCGCGATGTCATAACAGTTTTTGGGGGCATGGTTGTTGTGAACCAAAATGTCACTGAATGCCAGGACAGTTCAAAAGAGAGAGTGCACAAATATCATTTAAAGTATCTTCTGCCATGTACAGGTTTCTTGTGTGTGTGTTTTAATTATTCTGTCATTTGCATCTGGTACTTTTTTCATATTTTCAAGCTATTTTTGTTACTGTTTTTTTTTTAAATGGATTGCAGACTAAGTTGCTGTCTGAGTTAACCTGTTGTAAATTTTTTTCCCTACAGATTTATGTATGAAGGCATAATGTATTTGATTGTATAGTTCACAGTTGTGTAAATTTGTAATAATTTGTACAGTTAAAACTTTTGGTACCATCTATTACCTAAATGTCTGTACCGTGTTCTGTACCACCAAGGTTATGCAGTACAAATATTGACCTAACCACCACAATAAAGTCCCTAGGCTAAAATACACAAAGGAAAGCTACTCATGGGAAAGCCAGGTTTCTTTAGTAGGCTGTGGCCAAATAAAACAAACATGAACATCACACTGAGTTTGAAGCTGAAACAGTTTAAAACATTTGTGCAGGGTTGCTTTGGCTTTCAAGTTAGAAATGTTTTGTTGTTGTTATTTGTTATAATCTTATTTTTAATTTTGTTTGTTCAGGAAGTAAATGAACTGCTATGTAGAATTATGATGCTATAGCTTCTGTCTATTCAGCTGTAGCTCATGAAGCTACACTACAGTGGTTTACTTGAAACAGCGAAACGAGGAATGTGTGAAAATTTTACATTACTCAGTATTGCACTTCAATTTAACATGAATGATGGCTTGGTTACTTACACATTGTTTTATATACCAGCAGGACCCAGAAATATTAAGTTTGAGCAAAGTGATGCTGTTTATTTCTTCTCATATGCTTTTGTTTGTAAAATTCATTAATTTGTAACATATAACAGAAGAAAATTTCATCATCAGGATCTCATAAATTAGTAGGCGTATGTGAATATGTTCAGGCTCTGGAGCTGTTTATTGTGAATGTAGATACACTCAGCTCTGTAGTTACTTGTAAACATCTGTTTATAAGGGAAGAGACATCTACGAGTTTTTGTCCTCGTTTGAATTTGCTTTGTGGTATTTTGTGTGCTTTGTTGTGTGCCCCTGGACTCTAGTTTTCTGTTGTGACCATAGGG